CATGCGGTAATGGGATCAGTGCTGTGGGATTCCTGTGGTGATCTATTTATAGCTTGTCGCGTGTTTTTTTACATATCGTAATTCAAGAAGTAACATGAAGAGATTAATAGAAACCTCATTGTAATAATTAGCCCTCGTGACCTTATGTTGACAGCAGAGCGCATTCTCACTGCTTTTGATTTTCCCGCTAAACAAATAAAGCAGAGTATATCAAAGATTGTAGCATAAAAACTATTAACTGTCACAATACATTTCTCTCGAGTATTGTTACTTTCTTATTAAAACAAGAAGATAAACTGATGTGAATATAACTGAAACAAAACCCGGGCCTAGTTTGAAAACTCCAGGATATTAATGATGCATATAGACACAGCACATGTCGTCTACCCTGAAGGCTTGTAGCAAAGAYATGACCACACATGAAGTCTGCAAGCAYTACCAGATGATCTTACCGAACCCAGATAGCGATGCGTTTATTTTCAGCCTGCACGTACTTGGCGCTCAGAAAACCAAATTGAGCCATGTCCCATCGGGCTTGTTGACCGTTCATTATCGCGTAGTGACTCTTCAGCATGATTTCGTTTTCGTTGTTGTCAAGGAGACATGGTTTGTGACCGCTGGCYGGTGAACCAAAGTGAAGACCATGATCATAATATCGATAGGATGTCATGACGYCATTTCCCCAGCAAATCAACTTGCCGTTAAATTTCAARTTTCTTCTGCTGTGTTTGATTATGTTCCAAGTGTAGTCCATGTTGGAGAGATTGTAAGCAGCCCACGAGCCGTCCACGAATACYGTGTTGCTTCGTCCAGGATGAAAGACGGCATAAGCGTCTTCCGAGGGGCTCCAGCCATCKTCATTGGTTACAAAAGTGAATCGAAYCGACTGGCGGCCATTTTTAAACAACATTCGAATCAAAGAGTTGTTCAGGTGGACTCCAGCATCGATGTCGTGAGTAATGGAYAGATCAATGCTGTCTCGTTGATGAATATTGTGGAACAGGCTGCCATACTTGGGATTGGAGCTGGACTTCAGACAAATAGAACCTTCACGTGATGGACACACCCA